TTTGATTCTTTCCTTGGTAGGCATTGTGATTTGTAAAGCGAATTAAACACCTATGACTTCTCCATGGTTTAAATGCCAATTTCCTAATCATTATCAAAACAATTTTGCATCACCCCTAGAAAGGGAGAAAACTCTGTCCTTAATAATATCCGGAAAATACACACGGGTTGTTGTAAAAATCAAGCACAGCTGAAAAAAACTCGTATCGAGGCGAAAAGGGCAGGGCGTAAAACAAAAAGGGCAGCAAAAATCAAAGGGCAAGGCGCAGAAATCAAAGGGCAGGGCGCAGAAATCAAAGGGCAGGGCGCAGAAATCAAAGGGCAAGGCACAGCGCCCTCCTAAATGTGCCTGGGGGAACATTATCAACGATTCGGCATGTCTTCGTTGATGTCGAGAAATCATCAAAATGATGAGCTTGCTACACACTTTATGTACAACTAACTGAAAATCCTTCCTCATGTGACCTCACTGCAGTGCACTGGCGACAGAGTTACGTAACCTCTCTGTGGTTTCGTTGGCGGGCGGGTGTGAAGCAGGCAACTTTTTGGCAACTTTTAATCGCTCAGTATTAATTAACCACAAGTTTTTTAAGAGTGAATTTGGTGTTCCGCACACATCGTGGTCATACATGCTACTGAAGTTTAAAACATCATATTTAATTTCTTGTGACTTGACACTTTGTTTACATCTTTTATTGACAAATTCTGTAACCACATGGAAACAATTTTTGGCATTGTGATTATTCTCAGTTCATCCTATCGACCTTAACAAATAAATGATAACCTCTATACCACACTCTTGTGTCCTTTCTTATATATATAATTTAACATAGGATTGTGAATTTTCTTGTTTGACTGGTATATTACAATATTAAAGGTATATGCCATAAAAAGTTTTTAGCAGACTTCAGTATTGAGGTCAGAGGAGGGTACAAGCAAAGGCTCAGGAGTTTGGAGGGCTGTGAGGGTACCACAGATAATCTGAATGGACTCAGTGCAAAGATCTCCCTTGTTTAAGTTTCATGTCTACATAATAGGAAAATTATGACAAGAAAAAGCCTATTTTCTGATTACAGTGGCTTTGTGTCCAATAACATATGATAAAATTGGGAAATACCTGTTTTCAGGGGTTTGCATGAATCACATGAGAAGATTGTTTGTTGTTTGGGCACTTTCAAAAGCTCTAAACATCAAAATATTACAGTAACCCTGCCGGGAATTTTTGTAGTTGTAACAGGCGATAATACAATAATGTCACGGCAGCCTTTTGTTTCTCTATAATCTTTCCATCAGAAGGCTGCTTCACCACTATCTTATATACGGAATCGTATGTGCTACCCGTACATTGTCATCCTTCAGCTACCACACGTGTATGGCTGACACAACAATATCTTTCTAAAGTTGTACTATTCCATATTCACAGGTGAGCACCCTCTCTATATTCTTTCTCTATTTCATAGTGATAAATATTTAGCTAATTATTATCAATTATGTACCTTAAGTTAGTAACCATATCGTTACCGATCACTCATAAAGTGAACATACCTGTCACGAATCACTTACTAACATGTAAGACAGTGTGTGGAAGCATAATTCATTTTATAAACCTTTTATTATTAACACCAGCTGTATATATTTTTAATAATGTCAATGATATGATGCATCATCTATATGTGATGTTATCACATAAACATGTAATTTTCTGAATAAAATTGATATTTTATACTTATCCTGACTCGTGAGGTAAGCCCTCCCAACCTTCCCACTTGTGCTTATTGCTTGTCTCCTTCCTCTTGCGAACGTTAGCGGAACACTTGTATCTTCCATTGAAGCTCCCTTCAATAAAAACAGACGTAAAATCACTACTCACCATGAGTTATCTGTCTGGCCGTTTTGGCGGGAACAGTGGCACCATAGCTCCCACATGCTTCACTCTCTCCGAATTATGAGCCCAACACTTTAATTTGCAGGGAAATCCAAAGTGTCCAGTGGGAAGGTTGGGAGGGCTTACCTCATGAGTCAGGATAAGTATAAAATATCAATTTTATTCAGAAAATTACATATTTTTCCTTATCCTGACTCATGCTTATTGCTTGTAGAATCTGTTGGATTTGGTGGTGGGTCAAGCTACTTCTGGATTTCATGTAGTGATTTATGTCTTATATATCCCCCTACGGGAACTTCTTGTTGGCACTTCTATTTTACTGCTAGTCTCTGCTGCTGCTGTAACCCTGTACTTCCAGATGTCTGACGGGGGGACCACAATTGTTAACTTTTGGTCCTGGCTTCAGTTATCATTTTATGTGGATTTTGCGACTCCATCTCTTGATGCAAGCACCAAGTGGAGAAGTGACCCTTTCCTGTACGAGTATCCTTACAAGTACTGGGTCATATCACTTATGCTAGTCTGTCCTTTGACGTGCATATAGACTCTAAAGCTGAACTCTTCTGAGTGTACGCTTTTGCAAGTCATGTGATAAAAGGGCGAGACTTCGTCTCAGTGCCTTTGAGGGACTGTCAACTGTTGTGCAACAACCACTGGGCCGAAATGGTGAATGCCGGAAACGTCCTCGGTGGCGATGTCCCTCAGGTAATGGTTGGCAAACACCATGTCTGATTTCCAGAAGCAGCCCTCAATTATCGTCCTGATTCCCATGTAGAGCAAGTGTTGAAGCCAGAGCTCTAACTTCATGTGGGTTGGAGGCTCTTGGAGGATCCAGTCCTGCTGCTTTGTAGGCCCGTAGATTGATATCGTAGTGCGGGAGACCTCCATCTGTGTCGCTGTCGATATCGGGACGAAAAGACGCTTAAATTTCCGTCTCCTGGTCCTGGATCTTTGTAGGTAGACTTTCAATGCACTTACTGGGCACAAGGATAGGTCCTGCGTATCCTGTGGTCCAAAGACTGAAAATTGTGCCGGGACGTGGAATTGTCTGTCCGGTTGACCTGGCATTTGATTCTTTGCGATGAAGTCCCATCTCAGTCCCAGATGCACAGTGTTTTGATTTTCATCAAATCGTGTTCTCTTGAAGTCCAGAGCATGTATTTCCGACATCCTTGCTGCTGTTGCTAAGTCGATCAGGAACAGCGTTTTCTACTTTTTCAAAGGATGTTCTCTCTAATGGTTCGTAGACGTCACTGGTGAGATGTCGTAGAACTACGTTGAGGTCCCACGCCGGAGCTTTGAATCTGTGTTGTTGGTCCTCCAATTGAAAAGAGTGTAGTAAGGCCAGTAACTCTGGTACTTTCGTCAGTTTTGCACTCGTCCTCATGGTGATGACTGAGCTCAATGCCGCTAGGTATGTTGAGAGTGTTGACCCTTTTAACCGCCTTATTTGTCGTAAGTGACAAAAGTAGTCCGCCACTTGAGGGTGTGTCGCCTTTATGGCTGTAAAGCCGGTCCTCGCAGCATATGTCTCGAAACTTCTCCACTTGTCGTCGTACAAGGTGCGTGTAGACTTGTGTAGTGTTAGTGTGACTGCTTTCGCTGCCCTGGCGGAATATCCTCTCTTGTTCAAGGTAAGGAGCGACAAAAATCAGTTGTAGGTCCTTCGTCTGGCTGATTTTCTGCAACACCCTCGGTATTAGAGCTGGTGTTGGAAACGCGTAAGCGTTTAGTCCTTCCCAGGAGATGCTTAGAGCGTCCGTTGCCCATGCTTGTGGATCTGGTATTGGTAAGATGAATGTTATCAGTTGATTGTTGAATCTTGTGGCGAAGAGGTCTGTTAGTGGTGCTCCCATCTCCCATGCTCCCATGATCTGCTTGAAGATCTGTGGATGTAGCATCCATTCTTTTGGGGATGGCTGCGTTGGACGGGATAGTGTGGCTGCTATCACATTCTTGGCTCCTGGAATGTGGCATGCTCTTATGAGGATGTTCAGGTTGTCTGTTATGCTGAACAGTTGTAAGCAGAGGTCCAGGAGGTTCGCCGACCTTGTTGATCCTTGCCTGTTTATGTAAAACGCCACTGTGGAGTTGTTCGTATGCACCATCAGATGAGCATTCTCCAGAATGTTTGTCAAGTGGAGTATGGCGTTTAGTACTGCTTTCATTTCCAGCATGTTGATGTGCAGATCTTTCTCCTCTTTGGTCCATGTCCCAGCTGACACTTCGTCGTCGAGACGTTCTCCCCAACCTTGGAGCGATGCGTCCACGTAGAGATGCGTCTTGCACTCCGGCTCTGCTAAATAGGTGCCTCCGCAAACATTCGATCTCTGGGTCCACCATAGTAGATATGGGCGTAGTGCGTCCGGGAGTCCGAAGGGTTCCGGGTCGTCCAGATGAGCATTGACGAAGACCTGTAGTGGGCGTAGTTGTCGTCTCCCTCTGGCTGTCATGTCTCGCGCTGACATGAGGAGACCCAACAGACCCAACGGAGAGAGTAGAGCTTGCGAGATCGTCTGTTGTATCTTGAGCCATCGGTCCTCTGGTACCACTATGCGGTTCTGTGTTGTGATGAACCGGATTCCTAGGAACTGCAGGTCCTGTGTAGGTTCTAGGTCCGACTTGAGGAGATTCACTAGCCACCCCAGTTGTGTAAACAGTCTGATGGTGAAGTCCAGTTGTAGTCTGAGATGCTTGGGATCTTGATGTACTTGAATCCCGTCGTCTAGGTAGAATGTACTGCGTAAACCTCGATGATGTAGGAAAGTGACTATGGGCTTCGTCACCCTTGTAAACAACCAGGGGGCCGATGATATTCCAAATGGCAGGACATTCCATTGGTAGTGTCGTCCGTCCAGTATAAACCTCAGGTCCTTCCTTGAGTCCGGATGTACAGGAATATGCAGGTAGGCGTCCTGTAGATCTACGCTGGCCATGTAGTCCATCAGACGGACGAGGTGTAGGAGTTGTGGTAGATGTATCATGCTGAACTTTGGTGGTCTGCGTAGATAATCTCTGTTGAAGGCCCTCATGTTGTAGATGAGTCGGAACTTTTCTTTGGAGTTTTTCTTTGGCACTAGGAAAACTGGGGAGTACAATCCTGGTGAGAGCTGGACCTGGTCCACCACTTCTATGGCTTCCTTCTCTAGTAGAGATGTGACCGCTTCTCGTAGCCTCTCTGTCCGATGGGTCGTGAAATTGAACTTCTGAGGTTCGTCTGTCAACAGCTGAGTTGCTCGTAGTTGTATGCAATATCTGTCTCTTAGGATGCTGGATACAAAAGGATCTTGAAGAATTCCCCAGTTCTCCCAGTAGTTTTGTAGACGTCCACCCACTTGATGAAGGAGGGGTTCGGAACGACTGGAGTCTTACACACCCAGCCGTTCCTGTACAACCTTCACAAGTGGGTGGACGTCTACAAAACTACTGGGAGAACTGGGGAATTCTCTGATCCTTGGCGCCTCTGGGTGCCCTGCCTCGTCCGATTCGTCCTCTATAGTTGCCGGCTGGGCGACGAAAAGAGTCCTTCCCTCCTCTGAAGGTGCTCATTTTCTTGTCTCTTGCCTTCTGGATGCCTGCGAACTTTGACTTGCCCGAGTAGCGCTGGGACGTCTGCCTGATGACACTGGCTAGTGTATCGATGGACTTTATCCTGAGGACTTCTCTGGAGTCTTTGGCAACTTCTTTGGCGACGTCGTCAATCTCCCCTGCGAAGACGGATGATGTCGACAATGGGGCTCTGTACAGCAACTTCGTGAAGCGTTCGCTCCAGTTGCAGGATGCCAGTAGTCCTTGTCGTCCCACCAACGTCAACGCTGCTGAGATGGATGATAGATGGTCCGTCATAAACCGCTGGTCCTTCTTCTGCATGAGTAGAGCAGAGTAGATCATCCGGTCCTCCTCTGCGAAAGAGTCCCTGAATTTGGCGATGAGCGTCTCATTCACTGCCCTGGATCTGTTCAGGCTGAAGAACATCCTTCTGGACATCGTCTCTATCTGCGCCAGCTTTTTGTCATCAATCTTATAAGACTTGGTCCGGGCGTCGTTGATGACCTTGTAGTTATCATCGATCTCTTGTGCCTTCATGAAGGGGTCCATATTGTGTAGAAAGAACTTCTTAGCGTTGAATAACTGTGGAATATTCGGCGCCTGGGATTTCGTTGCCTTCCTGAAGGCTCCGTCCAAGTTCTCTGGAACTTCCGAGATGGGATCAATTGGCGGTAGAGGGATCGTGTCGACATCATCGTCCTTTATCAGGTACGTGAGTGCTGTATTCTCTTCCTTAGAGGGTGTCGCTAACTCCAGTCCGTTGGCCATCCAATATCTTATCTCTGCGTCCGAGAATATAATACCGCCATCGTCCTCTATTTCAGGGGCACTGATCTGTGATCGCTGATCATCCTCCGCTGGGGATCTGTGTGGAGATCTGTGTGGAGACCTGCATGGAGACCTGCGTGGAGACCTGCATGGAGACCTGCGCGGCGATCGGCGTGGAGATGAGCCTGTGGAGCTGCGTCTGTAGGGCGACCTGCGTGAAGACCTGCATGGAGGCGAGCGTCTCTTGGTTCGTGAATGCCTCGGCGAATCCCTTGACGATTTGTGAGATGTTGATGTCTCCGCACACCTTCGCAAGCCTCCACGTAGGCTGTTCATCTGAGTCGTCAATGGAATGCCTCTCCGATGTGTCGTCGGCGGTGGGTCCTTTGTGCAGGTCCGGGTCCTCTCTGTGGGTGGTGTCCAGGGCTGGTTGTTGGTCTTTTTCTTGCACAAAGCGCCTCTCCATCATCTCCATTATCTGCTGCGAGAACTGCTGCATGAAGGCCCCGGGGATGAATGTCTGCGGTGATAGATGAGCTGCCCTGTCTGTGTTGGTAGCGATATGGTCCTGAGATTGCTTATCTGCCGTCAGTGTAGATACCTCGGACTGCGTAGATAACTGCGCTGATGTTACCGTTGCTGAGGCCTGCTTCTTCTTGGGGCGATGTATCTCCAGGATGATGAGCATAGAGTCCTCTTTCCTCCATCGGGACAATCTCGTCCGAGAAAGTCCTAGTCGTCTGCGCAGACGTCCTCGTGGAGTTGCTTGCCATCTTAGGGGTGTGTGGCCGTCTCTGCGTAGAGGATGGCTTCTTCTTCGTCTGCGATGAAGGGATGTCCAAAGTGGCAGCCCTCTTCTTCGAAGTGGTGAGCAACGTCCCACGCCCATCCTCCGAGGTCATCTATGGCGGATCACTGGAAGGAAGAGGGTCGTCTGACATCAGTTGACATGTGAGGGACTCAGCCGGCTTATCCATGACTTGAAAAAGTTGTTTGGATTTGTCTTTAGCACGCCTAAGTACACAAAAATATATTTAATAAATTCAATATTGGTTAAATGCTGACAAAGGTTGCAGCGAGAGCTGGAAGTACATGGTGTTGTGCAGCTAGGCCACAATAAATAGGTCTTCAGCAGAGAACCTAAACCTACAACGAAAACAGAATTTCATGAAATGTAGACAACTGAACAAACACGGACAAAACCGTGAATAAACAGTGAAAAATACGAATAAATTTCAAACCATATTGCTGAAGGATACTCCCTAAACCCTGATAAAGGTAATGTATAGGGTAATAACTAATAAATAAAAGGATATAGTGCCGTATAGAAGACACAGGCGCTCTCCCAACCGTCCACTAGGGCGAAGAAGGAGAGAGTGAAGCATGTGGGAGATGGTTTGCCCGGCCTTGAGAGAGCGTCTGCCAGGACGTTCTTGCACCCTGGGATGCGTCGGGATCTGACGTGATGCCATTGTTGTCCAGGAGACTAGTCAGCTGGAAAGTCTGCTCCAACAACTGTTTGGACCTAGTCGTTCCCTGATTGTGAATCAACCACACCACCGTAGAATTGTCCGAAGCTATCAGGAGCCTGGTGTTCCGCAACAGAGGCATCCAGTGTCGAACCGCTAAAATGACTGCTTGCAGCTCCAAGTTGTTGATGTGCCATCCTAGCTCGGTGGCGGACCACAGTCCCGAGGTGGTCTGGTCGTTGAGGTGTGCACCCCAACCCTGAAGAGACGCATCTACGAACAGTTCATGATCGTGAACAAACTCTGTCAAGGAGACTCCTGCGCAGACGTTCACTCGACAGTCCACCAACGGAGGTAAGCATGGAGATGCAGCGGCAGAAGGAACCTCAACTGAAGGTCGTCCGTCTGGATGTAAGGCAACAGAAAGCGCTGTAACGGCCGAAGCATCAAACGACCTCTGAGCATCAAGTCCTGGGCTGAGGTGAGGAGACCTAAGAGGGACTGCCACTCCCTGAGCACGAGCGGCTGAGATAGACCTGGGCTGGCGAAACTGACAATCTTTCTCCAGCGATCCAGCGGAATCCTGACAAGGTCGCAATGAGTCAGGAATAGGCCTCCTACAAACATCAGTTCCTGGGACAGCTCTAGGTGGGATTTGTCCATGTTGATAATCCATCCCAGCTGCAAGAGACGAATGGCAAAGTGCATCTGTTTGTGAAGCAACTGAGGGTCGAGGTGGTTCATGAGACAGTCGTCTATATAAGGGTCAAAGTCGATGCCCCTGAGATGGAGGAACCAGGTGATCGGCGAGGTAATCCGAGTAAAAAGCCATGGGGCCGTGGAAATTCCAAACGGAAGCATTTTCCACTGGTAGTGGGACCCTTTGAAAAAGAACCTCAGGTACTTCCTGTGATGGTGGTAAATGGGCACATGCAGGTAGGCATCCTGAAGGTCGAGGCTGGCCAACCAGACCCTGGGCGCAAGTTTGGCTAGTAGCTGTTCCAGGGACACCATGCGGAAGTGAGGCGGTTCCGAAAGATATGGTGGTTGAAAACTGCCATGTTGTGAATCATGCGTAGTTTCACTGAGTCCTTCTTGGGAACCAGCAAGATGGGTGAGTAGAACCCCGGGGACTGTTGGGGGTCTAGCACTGTCTCTATAGCTTGTTTGCGTAACAGAGTGTGAATGCTGTCTGCTAGCAGTAATTGTTGGTCTGGAGCATACACACGTGACTGGGGCGTTGTAGTCAGAGGCGGCGACACGGCGATTGGCAGCTTGTAACCGGTCTTGAGAATGTTGGTGACAAACGGGTCTTCCAGGATTGTCCAGTTGGGCCAGAAGATCCCCAGTCTCCCGCCTACTGGAGTAGGACGAACCGGCATGGCTGGGGGCGGGAGGTCCCAGTCGTATTGGGTCGAAACTTCAGCGACCGGAGTAAGGGCGTTTCCCCCTACCCCTGCCGGGTGTCCAAGGGGGGTCCCGGGGACGGTCCTGCTGACGGCGCTGAAAAACAGGTTCGGATCTGCCACGGCCACGTCCTCTGCCAGAGGCGTCGCGGACCTCTACCCCTTGTAGACGATCTGCCATGAAAGGCCAAACTCAAGGCTTCGAACATAGACAAAGAAACCTCAGTATTGGTAAGTTTCGCGTGTTCCTTATTGTAGCAGGTAATGTGACGAGTTATCTCCCTTAGACCAGAACAGTGTGCGGCAAAATGTTTGTCTGTCTGTGTGTCATTTTCGAAGCGTGAAAGCTACACAATTTCACGTTCGCCATTGATTCATCGTTGTACGTCGGACTTTGTAGGTTGGAAACGAAGAAACAATAAATTCAAGTACGCAGAGACGAGTTTTTATTTGTGAGTACGGAACAGTGAAATTGTATTCACAAGCTGAGATAGGATGGAAATGTGCGTTCGCTTTTGCCATGTGGTCGCCATGTGCTTTGCAATTCGAAGTTTCATGGTGGATTTGTGAAGTGAGACATTGTCAGATTGTTTTCATCGTAAGTTGATGAGAATTTCTTGCATATATTTATACAATTCATCGCCAATATGAGTGAAAATCAATCAAATGTGGCGGCTAGTGTGAAAAGTGACAGAAGTAGAATTTCATCGAAGGCCGCAGCGGCAGCCGACATAGCGGCATTGAAAGTTCAGATGAAATATGCAGATGCAGAAGCACGTAAGAAATTAGAACTGGACAAATTATCGATGCAGAAAGAATTAGACATGGCGGAGGCGAGGTTTTCTGTGTTAGCTGATGAATGTGAAAGGACATTTTTGTATGGGAGAGACATTATAGTTGATCAGAAACAACAAAGTGCAGAAGAGTACGTGAAGGATTATATAGTCAATAATCCCCTGATGCCTGATGCAGTCGAGACTCCCACCATGGAACCTCAAGTTGCTACAGCTACCACAAGAGAGAATAATTGGAAACCTACCCCTGCACCTCGTGTGTCCACTAGACTTTCTTATTTATCTCCTGGATTCAGACAAAATGACAATTCGTTGAACATTGCTGAAATCACAAAGTCATTTGCTGATCAAGTCTCCCTTGGAAGGCTTCCTATCCCTCAACCTGGGGTATTTATGGGTGATCCAATCATTTTCGTCAGCTGGAAACGTGCTTTTGAAACATTGATTGAAAGTAGAGGTGTGCCACCTGCAGAACGCATCTATTATCTACAGAAATATCTAGGTGGATCTGCGAGGGAGTGTGTTGAAGGATTTCTGTTACTGAACACTAGTGAGTCGTACGAAGAAGCAAAGGCTTTGTTAGAGAAACGATTTGGCAGCCCCTTTGTGATCGCTAATGCATTCAGAGACAAACTTGACACATGACCCAAGATTGAGGGTAAGGACGGTTTAGCTTTACGAAAACTCTCGGATTATCTTGGACAGTGCTTGATCGCCATGCAGTCGTTGGATACACTGAACATCTGGAATGATGAGAGAGAAAATCAAAAGATTATTACAAGGTTACCTGAGTGGCTAACTTATCGTTGGAGCAGAATTGTTGCAAATTGGAGGGATCAAAGACATGCCTTTCCCCCATTCAAGGAGTTTGTTTCCTTTATAAGGAAAGAATCAGACATTATGTGACCCTGTCACACTATCCCGATATGTATCTACTCGAAATCAATCTCGGAAAAACCGATAGTTCCTAGGAAACGGACAGTTTTTCAGACTTCACAAGTTAGCACAGTATGTCTGTACTGTAACAAGAACAATCACGATATTGACAGTTGTCGAGCATTTGTGGTTTTATCCATGCAGCAAAGGAAGGATTTCGCACAGGAAAGAAACTTGTGTTTTGCTTGTTTGAAATCAGGACACAGATCTATGAACTGTCCAAAGAGAAGTAGATGCTCCATTTGTGGAAGGTACCACCCGACACCCCTTCATGGAAATATCCGTGAGAGAGAATCAGCTTTGCCTCAACGCTCTCATCAAACCGAAGCAAAGGAAACAACAACACAAAACAGTCAGGTTGAAAGTGAGGCAACAAAATCCAGTGTTAGTCATGTGAGTGGTCATGTTGACAGCGGACAAGGTGATCAGTGTTCTATGATACTGCCTGTGTGGGTATCGCATCGTAGGCCTGAATATGAACGTTTAGTCTATGCCCTATTGGACACTCAGTCGGACACTACATTCATTCTGGACAAAACTTGTAAGTCATTGCAAGTTGAAGGACCTGAGGTCAAGTTGATGTTGTCCACAATGACGGCAGAAGATCAGCTTATCAACAGTCAGAAGATAAGTGGTCTACAAATTCGTGGTTTTAATCATCATGAGCAAATCAGTTTGCCCCCCGGCATACACCAGAGACATTATGCCAGCAAATAGACAGCACATACCAACTCCGAGTAAAGTAAGAATGTGGTCTCATCTGCAGCATCTGGAAAGTGAACTTATCCCTCTATGTGATGTTGATGTTGGTTTGTTGATAGGCTACAACTGCCCGCGTGCACTCACACCAAGGGAAGTAGTTCCTCCAGTCAATGACAACGATCCCTATGGACAAAAAACAGACTTGGGTTGGGGAATAGTTGGAACTGTTTATCATAAGGATGTTGACCACTGTGGAGTGGTTGGATTCAGTCATCGCGTGATGACATCTGTCGTTCCATGTGCGTTACAGTCTGAACCAGAGAAAACCAAGAGAGTGTGTGTATCTTACAAGACTTCAATCAAGGAAGTACCGGTATATCCAGCCGATGTATCCAAGATGATGGAAATGGATTTCAATGACAGAAAGTGTTCAGGTGATCCATTGTCATTAGATGACCAGGAATTTCTGTCAATGATGGAGAACGGCATACATCAAGGACCTGATGGACATTATGAAATGCCTTTGCCGTTCAAGGGATCAGATCCCATCTTACCAAACAATAGAACTGTTGCTTTAAATAGACTCCAGCAGCTGAAGCGACGTTTTGTGAGAGACCAACATTTCCAGAGTGATTACAAGAGTTTCATGGACAAACTTCTTAAGAATCACCATGCTGAACAAGTGCCAGTGTATGATGTGAGAAATGAGTCAAGAAGTTCTTGGTACATACCTCACCATGGGGTGTACCACCCCAAGAAAAGGGACAAAATACGTGTAGTGTTTGACTGTAGTGCCCAGCATCATAGCATATCACTCAATGATCATCTTCTGAAGGGACCAGAAATGACAAACACATTGATAGGTGTGCTCTGTAGATTCCGCAAAGAACCTATTGCGGTGCAATGTGACATTGAACAAATGTTTTACCAATTCAACGTGGTAGAAAAACACAGAGATTATCTTAGATTCTTGTGGTTTGACAACAATGACATTAACTCTGAGCCCATAGATTACAGAATGACTGTGCACCTGTTTGGGGCAGCATCATCCCCAGGATGTGCCAACTATGGACTAAAACAAGTGTCGAAGGATTACGAGGACCAGTATGGTTCAGATGCAGCTAAGTTTGTGCGTGAGAATTTCTACGTCGATGACGGCTTGACTTCCGTATCCACAGTGGAAGAAGCTGTTCAGCTCATACAGAAGAGCAAACAGATGTGCAGTGAGGGTGGAATAAGACTCCACAAATTCATATCGAATTCAAGAGATGTATTAGCAGCAATCCCGGAGGAAGACTGTGCGAAGGAGGTAAAGGGAATTGACCTCATGAAAGATCCTTTACCGCTCGAACGAGCCCTCGGTGTGAACTGGTGTATAGAATCCGACACTTTCCAGTTCCGCATCACACTCAAGGATCAGCCTCTCATCAGACGAAGTGTGCTATCAACCATTAACTCCATCTACGATCCACTGGGCTTCATCGCTCCTGTAGTGTTAACAGGCAAACAGGTTTTGCAAGCTGCTTGCAAGGATCAGCTGGATTGGGACAGTCCCTTACCAGACAATCTAAGATCTCAGTGGGAGAAATGGAGGTCTGAACTTTTCTATCTAGAGGAATTAGCAATTCCAAGATGTTTCAAACCTGAACACTTTGGTGAAGTCAAGTCGCAGGAACTTCATCATTTTGCTGATGCGAGCATGTTAGGCTACGGTCAGTGTACTTACCTCAGGAGTACAGACATTAATGGCAATGTGTGCTGTGCCTTCGTTATTGGGAAGGCAAGAGTGTGTCCCCTGAAACCAGTCACGATACCGCGACTTGAACTAACAGCCGCTGTTATTTCCGTACGCATCAGTCAGTTTCTTCAAAGGGAACTGCACTGTGAGAAGTTAAGAGAGGTGTTTTGGTCTGATAGCCAGGCAGTGTTGGGCTACATATCAAATGACTCAGTTCGCTATCATGTGTTTGTGGGCAATCGTGTTCAACAAATCAGAGAACATACAACACCAGATCAGTGGAGACATGTCAAAGGTGTGGACAATCCTGCAGACGAAGCTTCGCGAGGTGTTAGTGCTCAGAACTTGGCCACATCAACTTGGCTCAGTGGTCCAAGATTCCTGTGTGATCCCAATTTCGACATTGATAATCAGGAATGTGAACGTTTTGAGGTATCTCTGGATGATTCAGAGATAAAGCGGGTGAAAACCCTCGCTTCTAGTGTTCGAACAACGTTCGAAGTAAGTCGTCTGAGTCATTTTCAAAGTGGAAGAATGCCAAGAAAGCTGTTGCTCATTGTTTGAGATTAAAGCAAAAGCTGATGCATAGAATTCGTAAGGAATTTCCCAATGAACCTGTTGATAAAGGTGAGACTCCATTGATAGGATCACTGTCTGTTGATCAGTTGGAGAACGCTGAACTTGAGATTCTTAAACATGTGCAATCTGAGTGCTTCTCAGGTGAACTGAAGGTTTTGAAGTCGAACATCCGAGATTGTATCGACGGAAAGTGCTTTGACAACAGTCGACAAAGTGAAGTTAATCGTAAATGGACCCTGAAACAAGTTAAGGGAACAAGTCCATTGTTCAAGCTTGACCCGTTTGTAGACTCCAATGGTCTTCTTCGTGTTGGAGGAAGAGTGCAGTTGAGTGAACTCTCGGACAATTTGAAACATCCAATCATTCTACCCAAGCGTCATCATATCACAACCCTCATTATCGGACATTATCATGAGGAGGCAGCACATCAGGGACGTGGACTCACAGCAAATGCCATACGTGCTCATGGCTTTTGGATAATCGGTTGTTCATCATCAGTGAGGTATCATATCGCCAAGTGTGTGATATGTAGGAAACAGCGTGGTTCAGTTCAGGAACAGAAAATGTCGAACTTGCCGACTGAAAGAATGTCAGAGGCTCCTCCATTCACCTATTGCGGCATGGACATGTTTGGGCCATTTTACGTGAAAGAAGGAAGAAAGGAACTAAAGCGTTATGGCGCTTTGTTTACCTGTTTAGTGTGTAGGGCTGTACACATTGAGGTTACCCACACATTGTCTACGGATTCATTCATAAATGCGTTGAGGAGGTTCATCTCTGTGAGAGGACCTGTTCGCCAGTTGAGATGTGATCAGGGTACTAACTTTGTGGGAGCTCAAGGAGAATTATATGATCCTGATTCTGTGAAGAACTTCATGTTGAGCAAAAACTGTGACTTTGTGTCATTTGTCATGAATCCACCCAGTGCTAGTCACATGGGGGGAGCATGGGAACGACAGATTCGTTCAATCAGAAGTGTACTCTCTAACCTCATGTCACAAGTCGGAAAGCAACTGGATGACGAAGGTTTACGAACCTTAATGGCTGAAGTAATGGCGATAGTGAACAGTCGGCCATTTACAGTAGACACTTTGTTTGATCCAAACTCATCAGAACCGCTGACACCAAATCATCTTCTCACCACTAAATCAAACATTGTTTTACCGCCTCCCGGCAAGTTTCAGAAAGAGGACATGTATTCTCGCAAGCAATGGAGACGTGTTCAGCACTGTGTCAATGAATTTTGGCACAGGTGGAGAAGAGAGTTTGTGCAAAACCTGCAAGTACGTCAGAAGTGGTTACGACCATGTAGAACTTTGAAAGCTGGTGACGTTGTGTTAATCATGGATGATAATCTACCTCGTAATCAGTGGAAGATCGCACGTGTTTGCGAAACTTACACTGGTAAGGACAATCTAGTACTTAGAGTGAAGGTGGCTGTCGGGAACAGAAACCTGACAGTGAATGGTAAGAGACTTGGACCTGTATCTTACTTGGAGAGACCAATTCACAAATTGGTTTTACTGGTGGAGAAGGACGAGCAGAATGAACTATGAACTGTGCAACCAGTGCCAAATGACATTTGCACATTAACATTAACATGAACATTCATGGTATGAGCAGACATTGTGTGCCAAAATCACCTCAATACATTAGTGTGATGCTAACGTGTGAAATTCTAAAGGAATTTGAAGTAATTATATTCATAATAGTTTATGTACAAGTGGTACTGTTGTGTTTGCAGATATTGCTGTACAAGTATTTGAAATTAGAGAATCCTAATTTGGGGGGAGTGTAGCAGGTAATGTGACGAGTTATCTCCCTTAGACCAGAACAGTGTGCGGCAAAATGTTTGTCTGTCTGTGTGTCATTTTCGAAGCGTGAAAGCTACACAATTTCACGTTCGCCATTGATTCATCGTTGTACGTCGGACTTTGTAGGTTGGAAACGAAGAAACAATAAATTCAAGTACGCAGAGACGAGTTTTTATTTGTGAGTACGGAACACTTATAAACCTCCGGAATCCTGTCATCAAAGAGGAAACGAGACGCAATAGCGGCTTTTAACAGCTTCCTTTTAAACTCTTCCTGCCAAGAACTGGGCTCAAGGAAACCCATCCGCCGAACAACAGTCGTCATTGCCAAAGCCGCCTGGAGGTGCACCAGCAAATCATGTAACACCTTACCCTGCCATTGAAGCAGGGTGGTAAGATGTTCTAACCTTGACGCGAGGTCTTCCGTCAAATCCCAAGCTGCAGTCGAAGTTGCCGAGGCCAACGCTGAAACAGGCTTAAACATCTGCTTGAGCTCTGCATCAATAGCCGGCATCTTCGAGTCCTGCACTCGGTAAGATGACTGTGGGGAACCCGATAAGCGTTTGACGGATTCATCATTGAGCCGCGCCTCCATCAGCGAAATCCAAGCTATGTATCTTGTAGTCCCCTTTGCGTGACTTAGGAGCCCTAATAGTAGTATTGAGAGACAACGTAGCAAAGTCAGCGTCCAAAGAAGGCACAGCATCGGCCACCATCGGGTGAGGCGGGAGGAGTAACTCAGGAGAAGACCGAATAGCTTTCGGGTTGGCCGAAACCTGAAGAGGGAGAAGGACAATCCGGCAGCCTGTCGGCAATCCAGTCGAACACAGCAGAGAGAGGCAGGTAAGCGCCCCCATCATCATTCTGTTGCAACATTTCCTCGTTATAATCGGGAGAAAAATAGAGCTCCTAGTGTCAGGACACGGTAGGTGCAGTAAACTGTTGACCCGAAGCAGCAGGGTTCGTTGGGCGCTTCGAAGACAACTGAGAAGCAGCACTCAAAGTAACCGTCGGGGAACGTGGACGTCGCGGCGAGTGGCGAACAGGAGGTGACCTTGAACGGTATCGCCTCCCACGCATCGGTGACCGTGAACACCTCTCCCTATCCTTGGAACGTCCAGGAGAACGAGACCTTGATTCAGACCAACGACGTCGATGAGAAGTATCTGAACTAAGACGAGGACTCCTAGACCGATGATGCTGACGAGGAGACCTGGCACGAGATCGCCGAGAACGACGGGAGCGCTCGGCGTCCTGACGTCGGGAACGCTCTTCAATTAACTGACGCTCCAAATCCTCCTCTCTAGACACAGTAGCCTTCCTGGGGATACGGTAGTCTGCAAAAGGCGACGGAATTGGCGCTAGCGCTAGTGTCGGCGTCGGCATAGGCGCCGGCGTCAGCATGGGCGTCGGCATTGGCGCCGGTGTCAGAATGGGTGTCGGCATAGGCGTCGGCGTCGGCTGAAACAACAAGCCAGCAACAGGAAAATCAAGTGCCACAGGCGTCAGCGCAGGGACAATGCTCGGCAACGGCGCTTGAACGGTGCTAGCTTGGACTCCAGCAGGTGCCGGCAAGAGGAGCATCCGAAGCAGCTTCTGTACCTCCGGATGAGACAAGGCGTCCAGCCGGGATAGGTCAACAAAGTTGTCAGACGGGCGCTTGCTTCAGGCGTCAGCAAACGCGGCGCAGGGGTGGACGGCTGATCTATCATGGGAGAGGAGCGTCCGACCGGCATTCGAGGAAGAGAAGACCGGGAGTCCACAGAAGAAACAGGAGAAGACATCTTCCTCTTCCGTTGCGACAAACGTTTCTTCTTGGCGCTGATGTAAGACTTGAAATCTGCGACGGACAGCGGAGTACAAAAATGACAGCGCTCGTCAAGGGAACAGGCAACTGTAGCACAGTCTGGGCACCAGGGGTGGGGATCCTTGGCAGACTTCAAGCCATGTTTATGAGTTTTTGAGTTAGATTGCAATTCATTGGTCCGCTTTTGAGCCAAACGGACTTTACCTTCATGTTCTTCAGTGACTTAACAGGAACATATATTTAATATCATGGTGATTGCTTATTATAAAAGATTCCAATATAACTATCATTATTTTTTCATAATTGTTTTGATTAACTAATTGCAGGCGTGGGTTCAATTGATGTAATGTCTGACAGGTGACGTAAGCATGTGTTTCATATGCATGATCTTATACTTAAACTGGACTGAATATGATCTGAGCATCATTTCAATACTCTTCACTGTTGTCTTGATACAAAAAATCTGATTCAAATCAACCGAGAAAACATTTTATCTTCAATTATTTTCTCAAGGTTTGTATGATATCTTAACCATATACTCACACTGCACATTGAAATGTGTTGAAAGACCCAAAAATATTACCTAGGCCTCATGCCCAGAAAATACACTTCCCAACCATGGTGTTTGGTCACATGGACTCAGAAAGGGGTGAGAAGGTTTTGCTGTTCTTGGGGAACATAACACAGAGAATTTCCACAATTTCGTGTGTTTTAAGGAATCATGGTAGCATGACTGACATACTCACACTGCACATTGATGTTGACCTGAGCTGTGTCTGACAGTCCTGCAGTGTTGGAGGCAGTACAGATGTACACTCCTCCCTGAGTCCTGGTGACAGGTCTGTCAAGTACAGCCCCATCCTTGCTGTAACCACCTGGACCTGTCCACCTGTAGCTTGTTGTTGAAGGCTTGCCTGGTGTGATGTTACTGCTACAGTCGATGTTGGGACTGGTGTTCTCTGTCACATCCTTGTTGCTGGGGACGGAGGTGATCACTGGGCGTCTGGTAGAAGCAGATGACAAAATTTACAAACATGATTATCACAAGAGGTTGTAGGGTAGTCTGGTTATACTTGTTTATTTTTATCTCTTGTGTGAAGCCCATTTCTTTTGTATCCTCTCTTTGATGATGCTTGGATATAGATAAATATTGCCATAATAGGCCTAAAACCATACTCAGTCATTCACATAACATATCCCTGTGTTTTTTTCCAAAATGCTCTTAAAAATACTTTCACATTAGAAAGTAATTCTGATTTCACCAAAATCATCTGTATTTATCTTTGATGCCTAACGTTGTTTACTTTTGAGTAACTTTAATACAGAAAGCCCATTGTTTGTATGTACATAAGTTATTACATTAGCATTTGGGGCATCACTTTTCATTTGGGAAATTGATAAAATGAGAAAGGTAAAATCTGTCCATGTCAAGAAACAAAAGTTCATGTTCTTGCTAAGTGAAAGATTGAAAGAAAACAGAAAAATATCCATATAGGACGTAACTAATAATTCCAGTCAGAGTGGGGATTATAGTTACTTTCCAAAATTTATCCTAAGGAAACTGAAAAAATCGGGAAAAAATAACAAAGAGTCTGAAAGCATATAAGGGTGGTTCTGAATGTGAACATGAAATGGCATGTGCAATGGGCGATATTAGACTGTGGATTATCCATGGCCTGTACAGTCTCTCAATCTGATTATTCTGCCATCAGGACCTTCACACAAATACACACAAACTAGAATAGCAAGGTAAGAGAACCAAACACAAAATTACTTTCATAATGGCAGGTATCCATCCACTTTGGTGTGGAGATGTTACTATTTCCCTGTAACATTGGCACACATCTATCATCGAGAATTTTTTGTTGCATATCAACAGAGTAGAACCCATGAGCTACAGACTAACAGACAAGAAACAGAATTTCATAAATAAAATCTTACACGGCACATTGATGTTGACCTGAGCTGTGTCTGACAGTCCTGCAGTGTTGGAGGCAGTACAGATGTACACTCCTCCCTGAGTCCTGGTGACAGGTCTGTCAAGTACAACCCCATCCTTGCTGTAACCACCTGGACCTGTCCACCTGTAGCTTGTTGTTGAAGGCTTGCCTGGTGTGATGTTACTGCTACAGTCGATGTTGGGACTGGTGTTCTCTGTCACATCCTTGTTGCTGGGGACGGAGGTGATCACTGGGGCATCTGATATAAGAAAAAAATTGTCATGACATATCTTATGAAATTCAACCAACTGTTATGCATACAAGAATTAGTATTTCTTAACAAGAATGAGCCTTTCTTATTCATGTTTGTTTAAATTTATTAGAGAATCCACACTTGACTCAAAATTGGCTCTTCAGTACATATACTTGACAGTTTTAACTTTTGCTACAAAATGCCAGTTTGTTGACTGATCTAAAGCATTGTTTGCTGACACAAGCAGATTACACCCCAGCCTACTCAACTCCGCTTGCTGTATTCTGCAAGAGAAGTTTCTGCTCCACTGACCACAACACAGGTGTCGGCATGTTCCCTTGTTTGTAATTCAAACAAGAAGACAAAGTTATCAGTATCCCCCCGCAACAGCAAAATAATCTTCATGAATATGTCAAGTAGCTATCACTATGTCCATTGTTTTGGCATGTATATAGCAGTGAGCGAGTGAGTGAGTTAAGTTTTATGCTGCACTCAGCAACAGTCCAGCTATATGGCGGCGGTCTGCAAATAATCGAATCTGGACTTGACAATCCAGTGATAAACAGCATGAGCATCAATCTACGAATTTGGGATATGATGACATGTGTCAACCAAGTCAGCAAAGTAGAAGGAGAGTACTGAAAGGAATTCAAATTCTGTTCAAGAAAGGAGCACTACCACCAAATTCAGTCGAAGTCAAATTTGATGCCATGGAATGCCAAAAATATTTTATTCAGAAATCC